CCTTCCTAAGAGATCTTGTACATTCCAGGAGGGCTGCCCATGGCCCTTTGTATTGTTGGTCAGGGGAGCACTGTGCAAATGCCATGGGTTGGAGCAGATCTCCCACAGAGGTTCCGTTTTGGGTTGAGTATGTGTAATCTGAAATCCAAAATCTAAAACAAGAGCATCATTTTGATACTCAAAAACTTTTGGATTTTGAGGCATTTTGGGTTTCAGGTTTTCAGATTAGGGATGCTCAGCCAGTTTTAAAGTCTTTGAAAGTATTCCAAAATCTGAAAAATTCAAAATGTGAAACACTTTTGGTTGGACAGGGGATACTCAGCCTGTTTTCTTCTTCTTCATATAATGAGGGAGTGGGTATTCAGTGACAGCAAGTGCCTTCTAGAAGTGTGCTCTAGTGTGGGGTTATTGAGAGTTGCAGGAAAACCTGGATGGGTATGTCCTGTCCTTCCTGGGCGAGGACTGTCCCAATTGTGTGTTGTGGCAGACTCCCCATAGAGGTGGCCTTACACCTGGACCTTGGAGGATTTGCTTACCAAATGGAGGTGGGAGAGGTGAATACCCCAAGTGGAAAGAGGCTCTGGGTAAGGGTATCAGGGGCAGCAAGGGAAACATCAGAGTGAGCTTGATTCTGTCCATTGTGGTGACCACACTGGTAAGTTGTCCACATGCTTGGTAGTCGCTAGCATCTAAAGGTGATGTGGAAATCAGTGTTTCTCAATGCTGTCACTGACCATGTGCTTTGCCTTCCCTGAAGGAGAACCACTGTCGTCGCATCAAGATTCTTGGGGACTGCTACTACTGTGTTTCAGGCCTAACCCAGCCCAAGACTGACCATGCCCATTGCTGCGTGGAGATGGGGCTCGACATGATTGACACCATCACGTGAGTGCCATGTTGCCCCAAGGGTCTTTTCAGGGCTGCAGAGGCTGATGAGGCAGTGGGAGGTTGCTGGGTCCAGGAGTTCTCTCCTGAACCAAGAAGTGAGGCTTCAGTGACCACCTCCTACATTTTGCTGTGATGTATTTCTTTGTTCAGAGGATCCTGTGTATTGTCAGGTATATTGGAGACATGCAAAAAGAAATGGCCTTTATAATTAGACTGGATAAGCCATTCCGAAAGGGTGGCCAAATACAGCCATCACTGTGTGCTGGTTCTTCCTCTAGGCAAGTGACTGCCTCAGTGCTCTGTGTGGAGAGTGGGCTGGGGTCTGGGAAGGTTTGTCCTTGAGGAGGGATAGTACCTGGGAGGTCTGGCCTTGGTTAGGCTTTGCTTACCAAAGTCTGTCTCAGTCCACAGATGGCTGCCTCCATTGCTCCAAGATAAGGTGTGGAGGTGGCCTGATGGATGTAGGGTAGATACCGATTCAAACATCTTAAAGCATGGAGAGGTGGGTCTGTTCTAACAAGATGGGTGAACAGGGATTGGTGTGAAGTTTCATGCTTGGAGCAGAAAGTAATAGAACAAGAAGCCACAAGAATCGTGTGGGGAAGATGTGACGAAGTAGATTAGCCGCTGGATGAAAGAAAGCACACACTTCACACTGTGTGCTCCCACAGTTGAGATTGAGTGACACCTAAGACCCTGTGAGACCCCACTGTGCTGTGGGATACCCCAATGCTACCCTTGCAGACTGCAGCTGGAGGAGGCATGAAGGAACCAGCACCATGGGTACGTTAAGTGCCAGTCACAGTGAGCAAAGCTGGACCCTCTTAGGAGTGGTTCTCCAGTGTGGCTTCCTCATGTCAAGAGTCCAAAGGAGCTGCTCTGGGCCATGTTCTGGCCTGAGATGGAAAGGCACCCAACTGACTGCAATACACAGCAAAATGTGAGAAACACTGCCTTGGAAAAAAGCAGCCAGCTGCAAGAAATGCTGGGCTGAAACTGGGGAAGGAAGAAAGGGAGGAAGGAAGGACTCCTAACTTGGAGGAGACTCAGAAGGCAGTGACTGTCTTTTATTCTGGATGCCAAGCCATAAGTCACATGTCATAACATATCACATTGCATATCATACATCACCTGTGATAGCACACATCATATCATGTCACTTGCTCTATCACCTATGTCCTGACACATCATGTCATACATCACACCATCACAACATATCATATATGTTATATGTTACATCTTGCATTGTGTCATATATCATATGCCCTATTATGTCAGATCACATACAACACATCGTATATCATCTAATATTCGTACATTATATTGGTTTTAGTGGGCTTTTTCACCACTGTGACCTAAAGACCTGACAAGAATAATTTTAGAGGAAGAAAAGTTTATTTTGGTAATCATGGTCTCAGTCCACAGATGGCTGCCTCCATTGCTCTGGGCACAAGGCGAGGCAGAACACCATGGTAGAAAGGTGTGGCAGAGGAGAGGAGCTCAGCACAGGACACTAGGAAGGAGAGAGAGACTTATCCTTTCACCAAGGACAAAATATATATCCCAAAGGCACATTCCCCAATGACCCACCTCCTCCAGCCTACATACAGTTACACCCAGGTAATCCATTCAAGTGAATTAACACTGATACATTGATTAGGTTAAGGCCCTCATAACCTGATCATTTCACTTCTAAACTTTCTTGCATTGTCTCACATATGAGCTTTTTGGGGATAACTCACATCTAAACCATAACAATATCATATATCCTATGCTGTATTATATCACTTCACACATACCACATCATATACCATCTAACATACATATCACGTATCATATTGTATCATGTCATGTATCACATCATATCACACTGTGTATCACATATATCAAATATATCACATTACAGCATTATATATTACATCATGTAACATACAAGTCTATTTACTCACTGCTCATAAAAGGGCCCAATGAATGGAGAATGGATTTGGAGGGGCAAAGAAAAAGATTTATTTGACAAAGCAGGAAAACTGATGGTAGACTAGTATTCTGGCAAATCATCTTAACTTGGGCTTTAAGTTCCTTTCATCTGTTCCTTTAGGCACAGGGAAGGAAAAGAGGGGTTTAGGTTAAGAAGTGATTGGTGAAAGCTGGTGGATCTTGATCCGTTAAGTTGGCACAGGTATAAATCCACCCTGTGCTGCTAGTTTCAGCTTTAAGTGATTAACAGGGGCTGTATGTCAGGGACGATCTAGAGGTGTGGTTAAGTACAACATGGGGCTGTGGTGCAGAGTTTTCTGTGAGCCATAAGCATTGCTACAGTGCACATAGCCTTGTGTTGTATATTGCATTATATCACATTATATGTATATTATTGATGTGTCAGATCTTGTTTTAAGTGATCTTCTTGGAGTAAAATGAGGAAGCTATAGGTGGGAGCTGTAAGGAGACAGAGGTCATCTTGTTCATTTGGTAAATATTTATGATGCCCCTGTGTTAGGCATGCAGATACAGGTAGTTAGCTAGGTGCTACAGCTGACCTGTGCTGACCAGGAGGCTGATGAGGTTGCACCTTATGCCTCTGCAGTTGGTAGCCTTGACTGAACTCTTCAGCCTCTTGGGTCTCCTCTGTGCATTGGAGCCTCATCCTATCTCTCCCAAGGGGCTCTGGCCTTAGGTGGTGCTGCCCTTCCTTTCCTGTTTTCCTACTTGACTTGCATGTTTATGGTTCTGAAGAGTTTCTGCAGGAGTGCCCCTTCCTGGCTGCTGCCCAGGAAACCTGCTGGGTTTTATGTCCAGCACTGAGCTGCAGCCTCACATGTCTTGAAATGCTTCCTTGTCCCTTTGCTCCTTGAAGCTGTGTCCCCTTTGGTGCTCCCTCAGCATTTCAGCTGCTGGCTTTCTGGCACCATGTCTCTGGTCTTGCCACTTGAGAATGGTGTACCCTGGGCTGGTGTCTTCCTCCCAAGGCTGCTCTCTGCTTCAGTTTCCTGAATTCACAGGGCCTGAGGGATAGCCGCAAACCTGGAGCCCCTGTCTGGGCTGAATTTTTGGCCACCCACCAAGATACTGAGCTCAGAAGATGGCCTCCTGCCCAAACAAGTCTGTTCTCCCCTCTAGACTGTCACAGAGCCAGGGACCATCAGTGTATTCTCAGCATGGCACTGAGGGCCTACCTCCAGGGAACGAGACTCCTAGCATCTGGTGCTCTCCCCTGTTGGTCCCTCTGGGCTGCGTGTGTCCCTGTCTCGTACACAGAAACACACACACACACAGAACAGAATATGTTTTTCAAAAGGATAGGCATGTCCAGATAGAGGGGAATGTTTGTGTGATTGTTTTTCTCTGACCTTGGAGTGCTTTATTCGGAACTTTGGAGATTCAAGAACTCCTTGAGAAGAACTCACACGAATAAGCCAAGTGACCAAAGCTCACATTCGTGGCAGGGTCTCGCTGACTGTCTCCTTTGTGAGAAGAAGGTCTGTGCTATATCGAGCTAGAGGAGCTTCCTTCTGTATCAAGCTAGAGGAACGGGCCAGCCTTAAGGAGCTGGATTCCGCTGGTTGTGGACTCATCTCTTCTTAAAAGCCTTTGGGTGGCGGGCACCATGGCTGGATGTCCAGGAAGGAGCTGGTCCTGCAGGGCAGAGATGTCCTTCATCAGGCACCACAGTCACATCTGTTCTAGATTTGGGGAATTCTGAGCAGACAGAGTAAATCTTGAGGAACAAGGGATGGTTTGGCTATTGGAAGCTTCTTGAAGCATTTCAAGCAGACTCTTTGGTCCAGAAGGTGCTCCGGTGCATGGTAGCAGGGAGGTCACTCCTCTCCACCTTGAGGGGTCTAGGCTGCCCTGTTAGCTTTCTCTCTGCCACGGACTTCTCTAGCAGTACCTGTACCAGGATCCTGTACTTCTGAGAACACAACAGTCTCATTGTGATGCAAGTGCCTTTAGGGTGGATTTCCAAAGGGGCAGGGCAAGGTCAGAGGAAAAGAAATAAAGTAATTATAAAATCCAGGACAGATGCTGCTTCAGGTGCAGGTGTGGGCAGGCAGGCAGCCATGTTGGGTCTTAGCTTCTTACCACGCTGGCAGAGTCAATTTTGTTTCCTTGTCAAACAAGTGAGGAATGATCTTATTATTGTTACCTTGAAGATTGTTCATTCCTATGGGAAAAGCAGATAGAAACATTTACCATGTTTTCCTTTTTGATCTTTGATACCCAGGCCACCCACAACTGCCATCTTGCTATTGTTCAATGCAGACTGATCTTTTGGGAAGTCAAGGACCTTGTATGTCCAAGGCCTGATAGCATAGACAGCCCCAGAGTGAACCCCAAAGTGGGGCAGTGAGGCCCACCAAAGTGCAGGGTGGGTGTATTAGTCAGCTTTCTATTGCTGTGGCAAAACTACCTTAGAAAATCAACTTATAGGAGAAGAGGTTGATTTTGGTTCACGGTTTCCAAGGTTTTAGCTCATGGTTGGTTAGGCCCATCACTCTGGGCCTGTGGTGAGGCAGAATGTCATAGAGGGGAGCATATGGTGGAGCAAATCTGCTCACCTCATAGCGGCCAGGAAGCGGAGAGGAAGGAGCTGGGATCCCAATCTCCTTTTCAACAACATGTCCCCAAAGACCCAACTTCCCTCCATAAGAACCTACCACTTAAAGGTTCCACCACCTCCCAATAGCACTACAGGATGGAACCAAGCCCCTGGGGAATACTTCAGACCCAACACAGCAGCTGGCATTTCCCTGTAAAACCATAGATAAGGAATGCTCACTTTCAATTAGAGGCTAGTTCTTTTCCTCCTCAGCCACTTGTGGCTTAGACAGCCTGACCTTGCTGAGAGCTGTGGCATCTGGAAACAAGAGCAATGGACCAGAGGGTCTGCCAGGCAAGTGTTGCCCTGGAATCTCCTGGGCTGCAGCTGGGTCTGAGGAGTTCCTGTCCTCAGATTTCCCTGCTCCAACCTCTATCACCTGGAAAGATTTACCCTAAAATATTGTAGGCCTCATTTGGGTGTGCATTATGCTCTTTAAAAAAGTGTTAATTTTTATTGGTGTGATTTTCTTTCATTATTTTGAGTGATATGTGTTCCCTGTTGGGTCAGGTGGATTCCATCAATAGGAGGAAAAAAGAATGAGGTGTTCAGAGAATTTAATTCCTTGGCTGGTCTTGCCTCTGAGGTACTGTATAACCCTGGGCACATCACTTCTGTCTTGGGGCCTCAATTTTCCAATCCATAAAAATCCATGACATCCTGGCTCTGAGAGAAGGGTGCAGTGGCAGCAGAGATGAGGGTATCAGGACCATCCTGGCAGCTGCTATGCCTGGGCCATGGGATGGGGTCCTGCATTTTGACTCCAGGGGTAGTCCTTGGCTTCCTGTTTTGATGGGTTTCTCCAGGATGCCCATGATACTCTGGCCACAGCAGCACCTGGGACCTTTGTCAGCCTCTGACCTTCCAGGGAATGGGAGGCCCCTCCCCTCTGATAGGCAACCCAAAGCTCCACTTTTCTTGAGTGGGCCAGAGACTTCTGATTCTCATGGAAGCAGATGAGCCTATGGATTCCTGACTCCCATCCTGAGGCAACACCTCATATTCCTCAGTGTAAAATGAATGAGTCATGTTTGCATCTCCAAGTTGTTATGAAATGATGTGGGCTCTCATAGGTGAGCTTCCAGTTGCCACTGTAGGGATTGGTTTATCACCTGCCAGACAAAGGGAGCTGGCCCATCAGAGAGGGAGCCCCTCTTCTGTGGGATTTCCTTTGTGGCACATGGTCCTGTATACCTGTAGAAATGGGGACATGCCTGTTCATCTCTGGGGGAAGCTTCTGTTGGCATAGGCGATAGGGAAACAGGAACCTCATTATTCTTCCATGCAATCCCAAAGCATGCTAAGTGACATTTTTTTTTTTTTAAATAGACTTAATCCAGATATGGCCTTGCTCATGGTTTATGTGTTTTTTGTTTTCTCTTTTCTGTTCTGAATTAAGTTAGTAGGAAAAGGCATGTGCTTTTCCTCCTCTGGCCCACATGAACAGGTGAGGACAGCTTGCACATGCCATACACCAGCAGATCCTGATGGCCCCCCTGGGTGGAGCCCTGAGGTCCTGTTAGAAGGGACACCTATGGCCTGTTTCCAGACACCTGGGCTCTCTCCTATAGCCCCTTCCTTTTTAACAAGCTGGGTTCTGTGTGTGAGCTAGGGAGCTTTTCTCAGTTTCTCATCAGAAAGTAACTTTAGGGATTATTATTTCATGTTGTTACTGGATTCTAGTTTTCAGAGCCAGAGCCATGAATACATCTAGGGATGGATTTTCTGTGGGGTAGAGGATAGTTTGGATACACTCATGTCTTTATTTGCATAGGGTTTTCATCAAAACCTTAGGGGATCTGGAGATTCTGAACCTGTACAGTTTAGGTTGAGAACTTGCATTTTTACAGCTGGGGTAGCTGAGGCCCAGGAGGGGGAAGCGAGGAGCCCGAGTTGAGGCCATTCCTTTGAACAAGGGACTTGACAACTATTTGCCCATTCTTCCTCTATGCTTGGAAACTTCCATCTAGATGATAGTAAATTGGCCTCTATGGTGTCCATTACCTCCTTTTTATTTTTTCCTTGTGTGCACAGCTGTAGCCACAATGCTTTGAATAATGGGTGAAGGGAGTCAGCTCAATAGATGTTTGTTGAACAAATGAACAGAAGCACCCTCATCTGCCCCTTCATTTTCAAGCTTCAGTATAATCATGATTACATTTACTTTCTCCCAGGATTTATTTATGCCATGGTGCTGACGGGGGTCCGCCGTGTCTTGGGACAGGCCGCTTCCTTTTTTCTTCCCTGTTGGAATCAAGCACTCGAGGGCTAAGGTCAGGGCTACAGACTGAGCAAGAGTCTGGCTTTTTCCTTGCATAGAAAATAACTTGAGATAAATAAGCAAACCCGAGCATATAAATAAGAAAGAAAAACAGGACAAATAAAGTCAGAAGGACTGGGGAATTCTGGTTCCTTGGAAATGACATGAGAGTTCTATTGGATAAATAGCCAAATCTAACTGAGATGTTCCAGGAACTGTGGGGCCAAGAGGAGCAGCAGTGAGAACAGCTCTGGATGTGTGATTTCTTTAGAGGCAGCTGTCCAGTTTCCTGAAGACCAGATGGTGTCAGCATTGAGATACTGGAGGCAGAATCTGCCAAAGACAGAGAGTATTGGCAGAGGGCGCAGGGTAGCAGATGTGTGGGGCTGCATAGACCTGGTTGGCAGTGCTTGAAGAGGTCCAGGGACAGGGATCGATGTAAGTCCCAGCAGTCTCTGTGTCATTTGCTCTTTCATAACTACACAAGTATAATTGCTCAAAGTGCTCTGAAACACCATTGGTAGGTTTCAGCATCTACGTTTTCCCACAGGCGTTTCCTGTTCTGAATTTTGAAATGTTTTAACTTCAAGATCTTGTTTCAGTGTCTCTTATTGGTGATTGGCAGACAACTGAAAAAAAAAAAGGTAACATTTTTTTAAAAACCACATTCAAAAGTTATAAAACCAAACAGGTATTAAAGATGTTTTAAGAGTCTTTCAAAACACTTCTTCGTAAATCTGTGGAATGAACACTTCTGAGGCTACTGAAGCTGAACTTGCACTAGGATTTCTGGGACCCTGACTTAAACATGTCCGATTCTACTCTCTTGCATCTTCCAGTGTGGAGGTAGGCAGGCAGCTGTCTTGGAGTGGCTATTGGATCCACTGTGTGCCGTGGTTATTGGAGACAGGCCCTTTTGCAGGCAAATGCATGATGATGGCAGAGCTGTTTGTAAGATGAGCCCAGCAGGGTTGAGTGGAGGTCAAGAGGCCTTGGAGACATGCTGGGCAGTTGCCCCCTCCACTATGGCTGAAGCTTCAGGCATGGAAATAAGGGAAGTCAGAGTGAAGGTGAGCCAGACATATCGCAGGTGGTGTGGGGTCAGCCTATTCATTTCATGTCGTCATTGATAAATGCAATGTACAGAGGCCTCTGGATTGGGACTACAGGGCACAGCATGGATCGGGGTTGAGGGCAAAGTGAGGGCTGCCTCACTGACAGTGGCAAGGGGGTGGGCTATGCTTCCTGGAGACTTTTTAAAAATATATATTTTCACACTTAGTGGAATAGAATGAGTTAGCAGGTTGGCTGCACCCTCATGTACTGGGGTACACTGGGGTGAGTTTAGATGACTTCGGACATTGTTAGAACCAATGTAGTCAGAGCTGGGCTTTTATTGCTCAGGGACAGGCAATGGTGTGTGCAAAATTGGCCAGACTGGCCTAGCATTACCCAGATCCTCAGTACCCTCAGCACCTTCTTTGCCTTCATTTATGTCCCCAGAGCCCCTTGCCTGGTGACAAGACATGTGAGGGATTTGAGATCCTAGGTTCATTTCCCTCTGGGGATGTTCCTAGATGGGAAGGGGTAGGAGAAAGCCATGGAGGGAACGTACCAAGCTTGTGTGGACATTGTGAGATGGCCGAGATGGCCTTGCCTGCCCACTTAGGACTCAAAGGCAAGGCAAAGAAGCACTGCCATCCACTGATCAGGACAGGAGACCTCCACATCCTGACCCTTCCCAGATGGTAGAGCAATGTCGAAGTCTAGTTTCCCCATTGCTCACAACCTCACAGAGCAGACTGTGGTGGTCTATTGAGGCAGGTGCTGGGTGGTCCCAGCCCCATGCTCTATGCTGTGTTACAGGTCTGTGGCTGAGGCCACTGAGGTGGACCTGAACATGCGTGTGGGGCTACACACCGGCAGGGTCCTCTGTGGTGTTCTGGGCCTGCGCAAGTGGCAGTACGATGTGTGGTCCAATGATGTGACCCTGGCCAACGTCATGGAGGCTGCCGGCCTGCCTGGGTAAGTTGGGGACTTGGTAAGGGGTGACCCCACAGTGGCCATGTGTTCTCCCTGAGTCCTCTCTCTGGGCATTGCTCCTGAGGGTATCTGTGTGGGTTCTAATTTGACCTTTAGCATCAGGACCTCAGGAGCTTGGCTTGTCCTGGCCACACCTACCACTGCATTCCTGTGGTGGGGGCTCCTGCTGAGCCCACTTCTGTTCTCCCTGGGATTCAGTGAGGCCCAGTATACATTTGCAGAAAGGCGGTATTAGATCAGAAGACCAGATATGCATGGAGACCTTCACCTGATGCAAGTGGTGTCCTTATAGCTTATTATTGCTTCTTTGTTTTGCTCTTAAAACATGTGCATGAAAAGTGCTGTGACCTCAGACACCCACCAGGGACTGGCAGTTTCCTCTCCATTCCTCCCTCTCCTACCCATCCCATCCTTTGAGGCTCATAAAGCAGCTACTGCTGGAAAAGGCTACTGGTGACCACCCAGGCCTTGGAGTTCTGGCAAATTTGGGACCTCCACCCTCAGCCTGATCCCCACCTTAGTGGGGCCTCCTTGATTTCCTCCTCAGCCAGCTAGGGAGTTCAGTTTTGAAATCAAGACTTTCCTCTGAAAGGAAGTCAGAAGATTGCATGGTGAAGAGTGGAGTTGGTCAGGGAGTTTTCTTCTTGTCCCCTGAGCACATGGTGGAGGAGAGGAGGCTGCCAGTATTTCATCTGTCTGTTGGATTTGCATCCTCTGCAGAGGTGATGCTTCCTTTGAGGGATTCATCTGCTCTTGCTTGAAGACATGTGAGGCAGTATGAAGGCCTTGGGCCCCATGCACCACCACGTGTCCTGCTATTCTGTCCACTCACATCGTGTGGGGCTGGGCTGGCCAGCCCTGACCTACGTGGCTAACCTAATAGTTTGGGAAGTGGATCCTGTTTCTCCTCTTCCTTTCTCTTCCTCCTCTCACCCCACATTTCCTCTTCTCCATTCCTGGTTGCAGCCTTCTGATGTTTTTCTCGGAAGGCCCTTCATCCTCCTCCGCTGTCCTTCTCTGTCCTCCTGGGCATGTCCCTTCCTTCTTTGCTTGCCTCCCTCTCCTTTCTTCCTAGGTTACCAGTGCAGAACATGCACAGGGAGCAGGAATGCTCCTCGGGGAGCTAACCCTGGGCCAAGAAGCCTGATCCATGGGCCCACATGAGGGCAAGGCTCACAATTCCATGTGCATGTGTCCTTTTCTCATAGGAAGGTTCATATCACAAAGACAACCCTTGCGTGCTTGAATGGAGATTACGAGGTGGAGCCAGGCCATGGACATGAGAGGAACAGCTTCCTGAAAACTCATAACATTGAGACCTTCTTTATTGTGCCATCCCATCGGAGAAAGGTAGGTACCTGGACCCCCTTCCCCCCTCCATTTGGGCCTTAAATGGCCTGGTCTGACAGAACTTTAAAGACACACTTGTCCTCACCTCCTCCTCTTGTGATGGCTTCTGTGGTTATGGACTTGCTGAGAGAGAGAGGGGTGCCTCCACTAACATTGGGTCCAGGGCTTTGTTGGGGGGTGGGGGAGCAAGTCAGAGAGCAGAGGGGATGAGAATCCCCAGTTGGACATCTGGGGTTATCTTAGGGCTGCGCCCTCTCTTCCCACCCTGGACCCTCACTGCCTCCTCTGCAAAGTGAATATGAGACCCCTGCAAGAGGCCGGGGAGGTGGAGCTCTGTAAACTGAGGGGTGCTGCATACAAGGGGGCCATGGTCATCCTAACCAGGCACTTGCAGTCACTCCACCCAGAAAAAAGTGATCTGGTCATGCTTGAGGGTGATAGAACTGCTTTCAGGGCTCAGGTGAGGGACTAAGGACATGTCTGTGTGTGTGTTTTAAAGAAACAATTAAAAAAAATAAAGTATGCCCGTGTTCTCTACTGAATATCACCCTTATCACCACTGTGTTTGTCACCTTTTCATCCCTGTGATCAGAATACCTGAAAAGAACAATTAATGGGAAGAAAAATTTATTTCAGCTCATGGTTTCAGAAGTTTCTGTTCAAGATCAACTGAGTCCATTGTGGAAACCTCCTGACATAAGGGTGTGGAGGGGAAAGCTTTTCAATGTAATTATGGTATCTAGGAAGCAGAGAGAGACACACAGAGAGAGAAGAACCAGGGACAAGATATAGTCCCTAGGATTAGGCTCCAGTGGCCTACCTTCTCTCACCACACCCACCTTCTGATAGCAGTGCCCAGGAATCCATTCAAATTATTATTAGTTTTATTTTTGGTTGGTGGGGGGATTGAACCTAGGTGTACTTAACCAGGGAGCCACAGCCCTTTTTTGTATTTTTAAGTTAGAGACAGGGTCTCACTGAGTTGCTTAGGGCCTTGCTAAGTTGTTGAGGCTGGCTTTGAACTTGTGATCCTCCTGCCTTAGCACTGGAATTACAGGTGTGTGCCACTGTGCCAGGCCATTCAAATTAATAATTCATTAAATGTGCCAGGCCATTCAAATTAATAATTCATTAAATGTGCCAGGCCATTCAAATTAATAATTCATTAAATGGATTAAGCCACTGATGAGGTTCCAATTGAGGATCCAACCACTGCCTGAAAGCCCCACCTCTGAACCTTGCTGCATTGGGGATCATGCTTTCAACACATGAGCTTTTGGGGGGACATTCAAAATCTAAATCATAATAACCATTCTGGGAATATAGCTTCCACACAGTTTGCATGGCTGGATCTCCTGGGGATGATCCTTTTTTGTGAACACCAGTGCAAAGCTAGGTGGCTTCCTTTAATCTTGGCTATCTCCCACTTAAGGGTCTAAAGGAGGTGGATTGGACAGGTCTGGGCCCTCCTCAGACTGGAACACCCCTAGCAGTGACTGGAATCACAGTCTCATCCCAGTGGGTGTTAGCCAGGAATGAGGTTTGACTTCAGAAAGGGCATGCCAAGTGAGCTAAACCCCTCTCTGCCTAAACCCTGGAGTTGCTGCTACCAGTAATGCAGAGTCAGCATTGAGCAAACAGATCCCTGTGCCCTGGAGTCCCTGTCACCACCAGGGTCATGTTTTTAACCTGAGAGGCAAAATGTATTTCATTGATAGCATTTCTCTCCACTCATTGTGTTTGAATAGATATTTCCAGGCCTGATTCTCTCAGATATAAAGCCGGCCAAGAGGATGAAGTTTAAGACTGTCTGCTACCTGCTGGTGCAGCTCATGCACTGCCGGAAGATGTTCAAGGCTGAGATCCCCTTCTCCAATGTCATGACCTGTGAAGATGATGACAAGGTAGGAGCCACCAGGGGCACTGCTGGCAGGAACCAATGGGAACTGAGTCTCCATTCCATCTTCTTCTCTCCCTTCCTTTGCAGTATAGTCCCTGTGCAGCAGGGTTAGGTCCAACATTGCTGTTTACACATTGTTTAGTCAGCCTTTCATTGCAGTGGCTAAAATAACTGACAGGAATAACTTAGAGGATGAAAAGTTTATTTTGAGCTCACAATTTCAGAGGTTCAGTCCATGGTTGGTAGACTCCATTGTGATGGGCCTAAGACAAAGCAGAACATCATAGTAAAAGGGCACAGTGGAGGAAAGTTTCTCAGCTTATGGCAGCCAAGAAGTAGAGAATGAGAGAGGAAGGGGCCTTGGACAGATAGAGTTCAAGGTCATGCCCTCAGTGACCTACTTCCTTCAGCCATGTCTCACCTGCCTACAGTTTCCATCCAGTAGTCCATTCATATTATTAATCTATCAAATGAATTAATCCACTGACTAGGTTACAGCTCTCATAATCTAATCATTTACCTCTGAATAGTCCTGAACATTGCCTAACACACGAGCTTTTCAAGGGACATTAGAGATCCAAACTATAATACACATTTATGATCTTGTGAATGCTGCCCAGAGCTAAGTCAAGTTTAATTTATGCACAATTTGTACTTTTTCACACCTTTGCAATCTGTATTTAACTAAGTTCAAACTAACATTCCCCACGCTTGGTCTAATGTCACGATAGTCCTTCTGTCCTAATGTCCTAGCCATTTTAGCCTTGATCTGACCATTCCCTGAGGCTGGCCCCTACCACTTCAGGGGCTTCTTTGGCCTTGTCTTCCTCCTGTTGTTGACCTTGTGTCTCTCATATCATATGGGCTCCTCCCCATGGTTCATTTCCTTCTTTTGATGGATCACGGACTCCAGCAACTGACCATGGAAGGGAAAGGAGGCAATGTTGGGGCACCTTGCATGAATAAAAGAGTCTTTCCAGCCCCTCACATGGAGAGCTTTGCAGCCTACTGGTGTGATGGGCCCCAGTTACTAGGTTGATGTATTAGCTTGCTCAGGCTCCACAGCCTGGGAGAGGCCTTAAACCACAGACATTCATTTTCTCACAGTGCTGGAGGCTGGAAATCCAAGATCAAGGTGTCAGCAGAGCTGGTCTCTCCTAGTCATCTCTCCTTGGCTTTGCAGATGGCGTCTTCTTGCTGGCAGAGAGAAGGGGGCTCTGGTGTCTCTTCCTCTCCTTTTAAGGGTGCTACACCCATCAGAATCTCATCTATAAGTCCCCACCTCCTACTACCATCATGTTGGAGGGCAGAATTATAATAAGTAGATTTGGAGTGATGCATACATTTGGTCCATGACAGTTCGCCATGATCTTTCTTCCTCTGACAGTTTGTTCAATATGTTCTGGCTTCTGCGGTTGCTGCTGAGAAGCTCAGAGTTATCCTCTTTCCCAACCTTTTGATATGACCCTTATGAGTATTCTTGCTCTCAGGTAGTTTATGGAACCTGTTCTTTGTACCTGGTATTCTGAACTTGCCCTAATGCCTTGATCTAGGTGGGTTTTTTTAAAATTTTTAAATTTTTTTAAATTTTTTATGCTTTGGGATAGATATAGCCCATGGACCAAGACGTCTACCTCTGTAAGTATTCAGGGATTATTTTGTTGATTATTTCTTTCCTTCATTTTTATTCCCAAAACTCCTATTATTTGGGCATTGAATCTCCTGAACTGACCTAATTCTCCTTCTCTGTCTTCACTTTCTGGAAAATTTCTTTGATTTTATCATCTGACACTTTTCTTTCTTTCTTTTTTTTTTTTTTTTTCAATTGTTACCAGGGATTGAATCCAGGGACCACAGAACCACATCCTAACTCTTTTTATTTTTTATTTTGAGCCAGGGTCTCACCAAATTGCTTAGGGCCTTGCTAAGTTGCTTAGGACCTCGCTAAGTTGCTAAGGCTGGTTTTGAACCCACGATCCTTCTGACTCAGTCTCCCAAGTCTCTGGTATTGCAAGAGTGTGCCACCTTACCCAGCCCAACACTTCTTTTGAGGTTTTCATTTATTCAACCACATTTTTTTTTTTTAAAAAAAACAACTTCTATGATCTCTATTTTGTTTTATAAATAGTCCTTTTTATGAAATCCTATTGCCACTTCAGGGATGTATTTTTTTCGCATTTCGTCTCACTGAGATTTTTTTTTTTTAAATATTCTGTCCCTCTGAGTGGCTCCCCCCCACAACCCTGTTTGTCTTCCTTTATAATCCCATCTTCTATAGATGTCCAAAGCCCTTACTCTTGTTGATTAAGATGGGGAATTACAGAGCTGACCGGGAGCACAGATCCAGGAGAAGGGTTCTCCTCTCTGAGCTTTCTTTTGGGCACCAGGATTTTATGTTTCTCTTCTTGGATGGGACAAGGTCGCCTGTGATTCTTAAATTTTCTGCTGGGAGGCAAGGGGTCTCAGACTTCACTTCAACCACATAGGCCTTGCATCAGTCACTCTGAGTTGGAGACCTTGATTTCCCCCCAAGAAAAGACCCCACTATACATTTGAGGGTTGATGGGTCCATATCCCCAGACCATCAAGTAAACCGGGGATTGTTGACAACACCTTGTGGATGGCATTTGATCACAGCAGCTGTGACCATCAGTGCTTGAGCCCGAGCTGTCCTGGCTCTTTACTGTCAGCTGGGGTCCAGCCCTCTAGGGTCTGCCCCATCTTGTTTTCTAAACTCCCATTGCTACTTTTTCCACCTTCATTTCTTTCCTGCCTTTATCGGTTTTATGCCTTTTAAAGAAACCTCTTGCTGTAATTTAGAGACTTTTCAGGAAGAAGCAAGATTCTCAGGGTCATGGTTCATTAGTTGTGTGTGTGAGCTCAACTTTGCTAGAACTTTATCTAAGAATTCTCTAAGAACTCTGCTTATGATGTATTCCATCAAAGAAAATTGGTCTTTATGCCTGTCAGGCAGCAAGGGACTGTTTTAAACTAAATGGTTGGCTTCTAATGTTCACATGTCCTGGGTAGTAGGAGTTTTGGCCCTGATCAGGTCAGAGGCACGTTTTCAAGAGTTTCCACTCCATTCAGAGTGGGATCCAAGACAGATGAGTCTTCTCATCTCCCATGCAAGGAGCTGTCCACGGAGGGTGGAGCCTCTTGGGCCTGGAATTCCCACCACTTTCAGGCCTTAGCTTGTTGTACTGGTGTTCCGTGAAATATGCTGATGTACTGTGAGTCTGTCAGTGCCACTGCCTCAGGGCAGACAGTGGCTTGGCATTCTTGCCCTGTCTAGACTCCCACTTACCTGAACATATCTGACCTCCAAATGACTTTTGGAGTTTGTAACCAGAGAATTTTCTTTGCCATATTGTCAGATTTAGTCTCTGACTTTCTCCCCTAGTGCTCAGGGGCCCCCACATATCTTCCCACCAGGGCTAGAACAAGGGTGGGCAAATCAGGTGCACAATTTAAGCATTTACCCAAACTCAGTCATCCAGATAAATAATATTTTCATGCAATATTTTGAAAAATCAACTTTAATCCAAAAGAAATCCAGGTCTTCTCCCTGCCTAGGACTTTTCTTGGAGCAATTGTGGTGGTGGAGATAAGTTATTCTTATTTGATCATTGAGGAACTCAGGTTTAATAAGACTCTGCAATTCAGACATGTTTCCAGGCAGAGCATGCTGGCCTCTGATTCACATGTTAAAGTTTTGTTGGACAAACCAAGACACTGAGGGGGCTGCCCTTTCTCCTGAGCTGGGAGAAAGCAGCATCTGTCTCTGCTTAGATTTTAGGCAGCTCCACCGGCAGCCCTTCAGTGGCTCTGTAGGCCTGTAAGGAGGCAAACCTGGGCTTCCCAGACCACACTGAGCCATCTGCAACCACATTCCAGTGGCTTTCTGCTGCCCCCAGCCCTTCTCTGCCACCATCCCTGCTTCCTTGCAGTCTTAGCCTGGCCTAGGCAGTGAACCCTATGTAGCATCCCCTCACCCTTCTTTCCAGTGTTAGAGTGTTGGTCTGCATTCCTCCTTTCCATCTGTGCTCGACTGCTTCAGCCAAGCTTTTATGTGAACACGCCTCTCACCTCCCTGGCCAAAGACATGGACCCCTTGCTTTGCACCTTCCTGCCTTCTCTGGAGGCACTGAGTGTTGTCCAATTTCATCTTTGGTCCCTCTGTCCCCTCAGTCCTCTAGATGGATACTTAGAGACTCAGACCTCACCTGTAAGCTCAGGGTTCTGAACTGCAGACCCTGCTGCTGCCTACATACTCCCCTGGGAGGCTCAAACCCTCCAGATTGTGCCCCCTTCTCTCTCGTCATGGTGCCATACCACCTTCTCTGAACTCTGGGCCTATCCTGGCTGGGCCCTTCAGTCCCCAACCCCAAGAGGCCTGCATGATGGTGCTGGCCCTTTTCACTTTGGATGACTCCTGGACATCTTACTAAGCCTTCTGGACCTTGAGGCTTGCCCCCCACCCCATCACCTTGTCCACAGTGCCTCCCTCTTCTGTCTCATCCTTCTATCCAACTGCCTGTCATTCTGCTTCATAACTCCATATCTGTACATGACTCTCTGCCTGAAGATGATCCTCCCCTGTCATGCCCTGCTCAGCAATTGAGTTAGTATTGCCAAATGCTGCCAGAACACCGTCTTCTTGTTCTATTGCTCTAATCTCTGACCCCTTGCCCTCCATGGTGCCTGATTCTGGCCCCTTTGCTCCATGGGTAGCCTCTGCAGCAAGGGCAACTCCCTTACCCCAGTACCTATTCCTCCCTGGGGAGAGGCTAAGAATCATCCAACTTCCATGGAAAAACCTTTGCTTTTCCAATATCCTTATTGCCATCTGTTCCCAAACTGGGCCCCTAGCTGCCACCTATGATTAGTGAAAACAAGTCCCCAATGGGGGCAGAAAGTGTCTCTATCATGGAATTCATCAAAGAGTGATGATGGGCAGTGGCATGGGGCCTCTGCAGGTTGTCTGTGGTGGCTTCAGGTAAGGCCTGATCCTGGGCGTGTGATGAGTTTGCTGTGAGTGACAGGTGGACACTGGCCTGCAGCTCTTTCCCTCTCTGTGGCATTCCAGGCCTGTCTTCACTTGTCCATCTCACCTCTTCCTACCCTCTGCTCCCCTGCTCCTCCAGACATGCTCACCTGGCATCCTCAATGTAAGGTGGAGCCAACAAGGAGCTGGGGTTGGGGTGGGGTGGGAGTGTGATTTATACCTTGGAATCTAGGCTTAGCTTTTGTCAGTGTGTCCAGTTCTGGGGAGTGACTTACAAGTATGCTTGAGCAGCCTCAAACTGTTCCGTCCCTGTGGGTCCAGTGTTCTCAGGTGCTGCTCATTTAGGGGACTCGGAGCCGGGACAGCAAAGATTGACCAATAGGTGGCAGTGTTGCACAGTGATCCAGTCCAGGGTCAGGGATGATGTGCCATTATGAGGAAATCATTCCATGACACTTGTTGGGATGCAGTAAAGGCTGCTTTATTCAGGATCTTTGCAGTAGGACCAGGCAGTGGGGTCCCAAAGTTGCGGAGGAAATTGGGGTGAACTTCAAATACAACAGGGAAAGTGGGAATCTATAGCTAAGTTGTAGGGTGGAGTCAGTGGATAGAAAATTACTGAGAGAAAGGAAACATCATGGGTAGGGATTCTGGCAAAACCAGCCAACAGACTCCTGCTGATGATAAGCTAAGCTGATCATACATTACCTGGAGCAAGGTGGAGGATGAGGGAACTGACTAGTTATGGAAGGTGATCAGATATTGGGGGGGGGCGGATTTTGCTAAGCTGATTTAGCAGGGTTCTTTGCTGAAACTGGATGTTATAAGGAAGTACACAGAGGGACCTAGAGGAAGATTTTTAGATCCATCTGAATCTTGGTCCATTCCCACATATTCTGATGCCTCTGATAGGTCTGGGCCACCCCTCACTGAGCGGCCTGGACCTCCTCCTGGGGGTTTGATCTCTTACCTGCACCCACATGGCTTTAGGTCTTGCTCATGGCTTTAGGGCTTGCTCAAACAGCTATTGTTGTCATACTTCAGGGATAAGCTCCTACAGTAAACTGTAGCCTCCAGTGTACTTATACCTCTTCTCTTTGTTGTTTGAACACTCCCTAAGATTATAAAACTAATTATTGTGGAAAATATGAAGAAATGAAAAAATTCATGAAGAAGAAATCGAAAAGCATTTATCTATAATCCTACAACCCCCCACAAAAAATATCATTAATATTTTGTTCCTTCCTGTTTCTTAAGAGTGTGTGTGTATAAATTTTTTAACCAAACTTGATTGGGTGACATACAAACAGTTTGGTATGTTTCTTCAGTGTGTCCAGTTCTGGGGTAAGTTTCTTTGGTAAGTTTCTTCTTCACTTGCCAATATATCTTAAAGATTTTCTTATATTATCAAATATTCCTCAAAAATTTGATTTTCAATCATTGTATAGAGCCCTAGCCTAAGAAGAGACCGTTTACTTATCAACCTTCACTGATATATATTTCTATTTTGTTTTAAGTGAAGCACAGCAAGCACAGCATCTTTGTTCCTGAAATTTCTTTCTTGGATCATTCTGTAAAATGAATCCTAAGAGTGAAGGTCTGCATGCATGGGTGTGTCACTCATTAGGGTTTGTGATCCCTGTCACCTATTGGACCCATTGGGTTGGAGACATGCAGATGCTAGTCAGAGCTAGTCTGGGGACTCTTCTTGATTCTCGTTTCCTAATACTTGAAGAATATTTGTTCACCTACTTTATATACCCAGGAACCTGCTTCTGTCTGCCTTCTCCCCCTTCTCTCTCTTTTAGCATTGCTTTTGTCCTTGTCATACTTCAATATCTAAGTTTTTTAATTAAACAACAACTACTACTACTACAAATATGCAGGGCATGGTGGTGCATGCTTGTAATCCCAGTGACTTGGGAGGCTGAGAAAGGAGGGATCATAAATTCAAGGCCAGCCTAGGCAACTTAATGAGTCTCTGTCTCAAAATAAAAACTAAAATGGACTAGGGATGTAGCTCAGTGGTAAAGCACCCCTGGGTCCAATCCCTCATACCTAAATAAAAAAATAAAAATAGAAGCAATATGTACACATGATACAAAAGTTAAATCTTTCAAACTTGACCATTTTGTGTTCTTTCTAGAAATCAATGTGTATGTACCAGCAGGTAAATGCAGGTGGGAACTGAGATTACTGTACGTACACACAGTCTTTTCACTCATGCTGGACCTTAGGCATCTTGGAGTCTCACCCCAACTCAAGTCCCTTCTCTGTGGCTGAATGGCCCCCAAGTCTGGGTGCCGACCTGACTTCACCCCTCACTTGTTGGTAGATAGGGACTTCATTTCATCATGTCCACGGGTGCTGGGAGCATCCTTTTTAACAAACATCTTAGCAAGAGGTACAGGGATAGCCTGGGGTATTGCTTTGTGGTGAAATTGCTGGGTTAATGGAGTGTCTATTTTAATTTTGGAGAGCTATTGCCAAATTGTGCTCTCCCAAGCATTTGCCCTCCTAACCCTGCTGATGGTACATAGGAGCTCTGGCTTCCCCGACCACTTCAGCTCTGCCCTTAGCACAGTTTAAAATATCACCAATGTGCTCTCTGCTGTGTCTTTTCTTCTATTTTTGATCTACTTAGCCTCTTGCCTGCCCTGTCTTCTGGGCTTTATGTTTAAATATGTCTAGGGATTATTTTTGTAAGCATAATGTGTACCATATCTATCTAATATAGTGAAAATAAAATTTTAGCTTGTTTGGTCCACACATTGAAACTGATTGCAGTAACTTTTTACTTAATTTTCTTGATCTACAGAAATATGTATTACAAATAATGAGAATTATGCTTCTTCTTCCTTCCATTATTAAGTGACCTTAATGAGGGTGGGCAGTCTTTTTATTTTGGGTTTTAATAGTTAAAACAAATAGGGTTTTGCCACTAATGGTGACATTTTGGGCTAAAAGTAGTAGAATATGCCTAATTATTTCAGGGAAGTAGCCCACATAAATTAGTATTAGCAGTTTTTAAATGAGAAGTGGATGCTGGATTTAGGAAATACGTTTGCATATGTTTTAAGATGATCCACTTAGAGGTTTTGTCCTCTGACTGTTCCTATGGTGTGTGATGTGCCTGGATGTCCAGTGTGTCTTTGATCTTATGAGGTGTGGTAGGGGTGCTGTCTTGTGGAAGTCCAGGTTGCACACCCGTCTTCCATGACATTGCTATTGTGCAGGTATGGAAGTTGATTCTCCTTGAGGCTGCCAGTCACAGCATAATTACAGAGTCATTGCCATCTCCTAGATATGAGCACTTTGGCTCTGTTGGGCTTTCTTTGGCACTGTCTTAGTGGGGGTGCAGCTACACTCCCTCACAGCCCTATGAAGATATAGAATTCAAGATGCCAATGTGGCCTTTGCTGGATGAATGGGGGTAGGAAAGAGATTTTTCAGTTGTCTTGGAAAGAGTAGCATCGTTGTTGTCTAAGTTTTCTTTTTCTCTAGGTTTCTCATTCTTGGTCCTTTGGCCAGAGAAAACAGGCTTTTCTTGGGGCTTTTGCTGTATACATTTTGCCTGTACATGTTGGCATTTCTAGGCCATGGGCTTCTCCAGTTTCTGGTCTGAGATAAATAAGACAAAAAGAAACCCTAGGGGGACCTCCTGCTCTACCATACAGTTTTTCTTTGAATTGCAAAGTTCCTAAAGCACCTCATCTTTTTCTTTTTACTGTTGGCATTCTGACCATTTGGTTAGAATAAAATGGAATAATGTATTTATTTCTTCTTTTCTGGAACTGCATGGACAGCATCTTTTTAATATTCTTGTATTCTTCTAAAATGTGTTAAGCACCAGAGGCCCTGCTTATGAAGTCCAATAATGAGATCACAGTAGGTGGTTTCAAATTAGACTCCATTTTCCTTTTGGCAAACAGGTGCATTCTTGTACCCCATCTGTGACATGTGGGAGCTGTGTAGAAGGGTTCACACTCCATTCCCATCAGCCCTGGCTGTAGCAAGAGACCTGGTAAGGTCTGTCTTTCAGGTTTGATGTTCAGGTGCCTGCTCTTCCCTGGACACTGTCTCACCACTGCACACCTGTTGAGTCCCACAATCCTCACCACAGTGCTGTGGCACAGCTGCCCTGTAACCCCAGCACAGATGTGGGAACCCCAACACTGAGTGCTGAGAGACTTCCCCTGTCATCTCAGGTCACCAGGGGCAAAGCCATGATAGCATCTCCTATCCTCAAATGGAGCCCACCCTGCAGCAGACAGGATGCAAGCTTGGGGGGGGGGGCGAATATAACCCCTTTTCTTCAAAAAGGGGAGAATTATATGACATTTCTTTTGTTTCCATGATGACTGCAGCGGAGAGCATTGAGAACAGCATCAGAAAAACTTCGAAACCGCTCGTCTTTCTCTACAAATGTGGTCTACACCACACCAGGCACGCGTGTCAATAGGTATTTAAGCCGCCTCCTGGAAGCCCGCCAGACGGAGCTGGAGATGGCGGATCTGAATTTCTTCACCTTGAAGTACAAACATGTTGAACGGGAGCAAAAGGTAAGTCGCTCTGGTTTTAATTTTCCTTGATGTGGTGGGTCAAGGCTCTGTGTGGGCCCAGAAGCTCGAAGCTCGAGTTGATCAGTATGTCTCCCTCCCCACTTTGCAGTACCACCAGCTTCAGGACGAGTATTTCACCAGCGCTGTCGTCCTTGCCCTCATCCTGGCTGCCTTATTTGGCCTTGTCTACCTTCTTATGATTCCACAGTAAGTGCTGTTCCTGTTCTGATCAGTGTGTGGGAAGGTAACCATGAATTTGAAGTCCCTGGCCAGGCATGGTGGCATACACTTGTTATCTGAGCGTCTTGGGAGGCTGAGGCAGGAAGATCGCAGGTTCAAAGCCAGACTCAGCAACTTAGTGAGGCCCTAAGCAACTTAGCAAGACCTTGTCTCAAAAAAAAGGGGCGGGGGCAGGGATATGGCTCAGTGGTTAGGCATCCCTTGGTCCAAAAAAAAAAAAAAAAAAAAAAAAATCTGGGATGCACACAGATTTGAGGTCCCTGAGGTTGGTGGCTGTGTGTTCTTTTTATATTCAGGATTCACCTTCTAGTTACTCTTCCATCATGCCCAGCATTTGGGGAAGACATTGGCCACCACCATTTATTTAAGTCACTAGTTTAGCAAGCCTTATGGCATACAGCTTGGGACTGGTCACTGTTGATTTTTAATTTTGAACTGACTGAATTCTAAGACACCATATACCACATACTTAGAGGTTCTGCATCCTTGTGGCATGTGCCATTGCCCTAATAACTATTTTCAAGGGGGAAGCAGAGCATACTAAATGGCCTCACTGATTTCTAGGTTCATGTCATTTTTAGAAACATTCAAATGAGAAAAGGAGGGTTCTGAAAATGAAGAAAAATATACTAATTATCATATGAGTCAATGTGAGTTTGGCAGGTTTTTTTGGTTGAGGAAGATACCCGAAAGTCTCTGCTTGTTACTTTTCTTCCAGACATACCTGTTTCTTTATAAAACCTACCTAGGGGGAATAATATCTTATTTGAGTTTCCAAAAAACACACAGAAGGTCCTCATACCTGGTGAGGACAGGGGGCCTCATCTGTGGGATGCACACAGATTCTGAACACAGTGATTTCCCAAAGTCCCTGTTTGGGGAATCTAGCTTTTTCTAGAAATGTCCTTCCCATACAAAGCCCAGCAGAAGGGCAGCTCACCAGACTGTGTGAGCAGTTCCTATGCTTCTGTCAGGAGTAAAGGGCTTTCAGAAAGGTTTATGTCCCTCAGCCTAGGTTAGAATTTGGGGGTGGGGTGGTGCAAGTCAAGGATAACTCAGAAAAGACCCCTTTACTTGGGAGCCCCAGATGCCTCCCTTGAAGATAGCAGATGTGGCAAATCCCGAGGGATCTGAGGGCAGGCAACCTGGTGTATGACACTGCTTCATCTTGAGAGCTCAGGAGATTTAGAGGGAGGGTACGACCAAGGACTGATTTCCAGATATCTCTTGGATTATGTCACCTGGCCTCTGACCAGCAGTGACTTGCATGTCCTCTGTCTCTAGGAGTGTGGCTGTCCTGCTCCTGCTGGTGTTCTGTATCTGCTTCCTGGTGGCCTGTGTCCTCTACCTGCACATCACCCGGGTCCAGGTATGTGTGTGATGTGTGACTTCTCCCTGAACTTCACCTGGTCCAGGCCTATGGACCATCTCTGCTGGTCAGGACAGGTGGGATGTTGGAGGCAGTCCTGTCCCTTATCCTCCATGGCAGGTGGAAATGTCTGCCTTTGTGCTGGATGTTCTAGTCCTGTACCCGGCTCCGTGTGCTGTGTGCAACCTGCCTACTGGGCACAAAGGGTGGGTGATGGATGCCAGTGAAGTAAATGAACACAAAATATTGATCCTGATGTTCGAGATGTAGAGATTAGGGGAGAAGGGAAGGGTGCCTTCTTGGGTTTTTCATGTCTCAAACCTGGGAGAGCATTTTCTAGGTGGGCCATCAGCCCTCCAGGTCCCCATGCTCGTCTTCTCAGCTCTTTGGACTTTGGGTGCAGAGTCCAGAGCACCACAGCCTTGTGCCTTTTGCTGTTCATCAGAGAGGACTCTTTTGTTCCTCATGGCCCTTCATTCCTTCGTCACATCCTCAGTCTTCATTCCCAACTGCCCCATTTCCCCCAGAATACCCCTACTTGTCCCTTCTAGTAGACCCAGTGTTATTTTTGTATAATTGTTGAAAACAGCAATTCTTAAAATGATTAGGTCTAGGTTTATTTGTGTAGCTTTGTCATCATTCATAGGTAGGTACCATTCTGATTTTTTTCTTAATTAGGTGATACTATTTATTAAAACTGCGTTTGCAGCTCTTTGACTTCTATAGGTTGAGTGATATTTTGTTTGAAATTTCCCCCCTTCAAATAAGTTTGCTTTTGTCATATAATTTCAAGTGAAACCATGATGGATGATACTTTTCAAAGCCTGTCACTTTGTCCACAAATGGTGGGAACTGGCATGCCCACCTGATGGTGTGCAAATAGCCTAAGATATGCAGAAAATAGAATGAATACTGCTGGGGAAAGAACAACAGCCACCAAGTGTAGCTGAGGAATTCACCAGCCCCATAAACCCACCTGGCATCTCACTCCAGGAATATGGATTCTCCTGAGCAGATTCACACCCCTTTCTTGAGCCTCCCATGTGGGATTGAGACACATTAGCCTCTTGCTGTAGATGAGGGACATGGGGTTTGGGCAGCTAAGCAATCTGATCAAATGACTTAGAAGCAAAATCTATGCCTGGTCTCCTGTCCATAAAACTAATATTCAAACCTAAACACTCTATGGCTCCATAAAACATGTATCAGTGAGATTGGGCTGTGACTGTGCCTGGAATTAACCCTCTTGGTCGATAAGGCAGCTGCCCTGTGGCTGGGAACTTTGGCCAGAGTAATTTCAGAGTGATAACATTAAAAATAAACTAGTCTACGTCATCCCATGTGATGCTTCTTACTGAGATGTTTTGTTCTCTTGGTGGACTCTGCCCGGGCTCCAGTGGTTCTCTTTTTTTTCTAAGGTGCACTCCCCACCCTCCCCCATGGGCATGGAGTGTTTTTCTAACCATGTGTTTGTGAAACACCGGGCTCACAAAGCTGCAGGACCCGACTTTCCTAGGAGCTGGCGTCAGTGGCACATGCACTGATGCGCAGAAAGCAGAGTCTGTTCTCAGCTCAGGCAGGAGGCAGGGCCAAGCTTACAGCAAATATCCACTGGGTCAGGGCTTGACAGAACCAGCAATGTATACTAACCATCTTCACCAGGCTCTGCACTGGGCTCAGAGCATCCTTTGTGGGGGATGATCGGGGCCATGGCAGATGCCTGTATAAAATACACTGTGGGGATGATAAATGACAGGATGGAGGCATGGGGAGGTTGGCACACAGTAAGTCAGATCCATCCAGGAAAAAGCTAGCTCACCCAAGGGGGAGGCATGAGTGGGTGGGGTCAGCCACTCAGGTGGGGTTAGGTCTAGTTCCCAGGGACCTTCACCTTTTGCATTGGTTCTTGTAATTATCATTATTCAGTTCCTAGAGAGATAGTTTAGCTTCTGTTTACATGATAAAATATATTCCTAGGAACTAATATTGAGCATCAGATGGAGAGGATCTGAAGTACTCCAGTTTCCTCACTGAGGGTGTGAGCCAGAGTGGCCAGCCTCCCAAAGATGCCACCTCTATAAAGTTCCTGGGCAGCAGTTGTCATTTTGCAAGTAACCAAATAGTCAATCCAAATTACTTGAAATGATAAAAGGTTATGTATTGGCTCCTGCATCCAGAAAGACCAAGGGAGAGCCCAGGGTTGGTTTTAGTCAAATGACTCCATTCTGCCATCAGAGACAAATTTCTTTCTCTCTGTCCCCTAGAGCCAGTCTCAGCCCAAAGCTAGTTTCCTTTAAGGGTTTCAAAACAATGGCAGCCGACCCAGCTTTATGTACATCTACCATGCATCTGGAATAGGAGCTGATGCCTCTCTGTATCTCTCTAAAGATCTCAAAGCCTCCTGCACTGAATCAGTTGCCAACCTCACGTAAATCAGATTTTCTCAGAGGAGCAGAACCTTGAGGGCATACAAGTATCCTGTATAGAAATGCTCCTTGTAGGGATTTGACCAGAGCAGATCCAATATCAGTCTCTGGGATAAAGACTGAAACAAGGTTTCTCTAGCCTGCTCCTTGGAATTTTTCCTACCCCCTCCTGCTGCCCAGGTCCAAAGCTGTTCCTATGTTTTGATACCTATTACAGCACTGTACTTCTAGAGATTCAACTTTTCTGACTTACCCTTCTGCCATCAACCAGAGAAAATTATCTCTTTTTTTCATTAAATTTTTTGATGAGTAACAACTACATACATTTATGGCATACAATGTGAGGCTATGATATACATATACGTATGTATGTATATATATATATCATTCTACAGTGTACACATATGTGTATGTAGATGTATATTAAGCAATTGAATTACTTCACATATTTAGCATTTCTTTGTGGTGAGAACATTTAAGATATATTATCTTAGCAATTTTGATGTACATAATGTCATAGTTACCACACTGAGCAATACATCTCAAAATGTTATTCCTTCTGTCCACTTAAAACTTTGTACCCATTGACCAACATCTTCATTCTCACCCTCCAATACCACCAGCTGGCAATCTCCATTCTACTCTCCTAGAAATTTGACTTTTGGAGTCCACATATATGTGAGATCATGCGGTGTTTGTGCTTCTATACCTGGCTTATTAGTGAAACAAGTATATTGTCCTCTGGGTTCATCCATGTTGGTGCAAATGATAGGACTTCCTTCTTTTATAAGGCTAAATAGTACTCCATTGTGTAAGTGTACCCATTCATCCTTGGATGGACACCTAGGTTGATTCCATATCTTGGCCCTTGTGAATAGTGCTGCAGTGAACACGGGAGAATAACTATCTGACATGCTAATTTAATTTCCTTTGGCTCTATACCCAGTAGTGTGGTTACTGGATTGTATGGTAGTTCTATTTTTAATTTTTTGAGGCACCTCCATACTGTTAGGAATGTACTAATTTACATTCCCACCAACATTATACAATTTTCTCTACATTTTTGCTAACACTTGTAACAAAAGCCTTTAAAAAAAAAATAACCATTCTACTTGGAAAGAGGTGATATCTTATTGTGGTTTAAATTTGCATTTCTCTGATGATCAGTGATCTTTGTCTTCGTTTGAGAAATGTGTATTTTGCCCATTTTAAATTGGGTTATTTGGGTTTTTTTTTTCTGCTATTGAGTTGTCTCAATACTTATATATATATTGGATATTTTTCACTTATCAGATGTAATGTTTGCAGACATTATCTCCCAAAGTATGGGTTATTTCTTCACTTTATTCATTGTCATAGAGGAAAAGCTCCATGGCTTTCATGTGGACAATGCTTTTTTTTCACAGAGCTTTAAAAACACATGAAACAAAAGGGAAAATAGACAAATGAAGTTGCATCAAACTAAAAGGAATGTGCACAGCAAAGAAAGGCCTCATGTGATTAGATTAGGTACAGCAAGTACTCCTGTCTGATGCAGAATTATCTTATTATTAAGCTTAATTACAGCTTTAGAGTCCCTTTTACCACAAATATCACATGATCATGGACATTCTCATTCATCATAGTCTCTGGCCCAGATTTAGCTGAGAAACCTTGGGGACTTTTAGGAATTATGCCATTCCCAAATATACTAAATAAAATTCATTTTACTAATTTAAAAATTTTCTCCATATATTTATAACCTAGAGGATTTTTAAAAAACTGTTTTTGGCAAATTTTTAAAGGGTTTTGGGGAATCATAATTCTTCCCATTGATTATTAAAGTTATATTTATATGGTTTCTGCTTGCATGGTCATTTTCATGGCCCTGCACTAACTAGCTTGCAGTGAAGCACTGACTGTTTGATATGCAATTTAAGTCAGCTTTTCATCACTGTGACCAAAAGACCCAACAAGAACAACTTAGAGGAGGAAGTTTATTTTGGTTCAGTCCATGGTCAGCAGACTTCATAGCTCTGGCCTAAGGTGATAAAGAACATAATTGCAGAAAGATAAAGAACATCATAGCATTACTCAAAAGCCCAAGTCCATCATTGTTGGAGGAGAGCTGTTCAGTTCATGACAGCCAGGATGCAGACAGTGAGATCCACTTGCCAGGGACAAAGTATAAACCCCAAAGGCTTTCCCCAGTGACCTGCTTCCTCTGGCTACACCTTACCTGTTTATACTCACCACGCAGTATAGTAGTCCTTTCAAGTTAATCCATTAAATGTATAAATCCATTGATTAGGCTACAGCTCTTATAATCTAACCATATCATCTTTGGACATTTTTACATTGTCTCACATGAGCCCTGGTGGTTATGAAGCCAGATTTAAAGTTAGGTAGTCAGTGTAGTTAGGTAAATCTGGGTCTAATACCAAGTAAGATCTAAAATGGAGGCCATGTTGAATAAATTCCAGGAAAGGCAGGACAACTCATGGAATGTTAATGAAGTCCCGAGAAAAGCCCTAGGCCCAGAGTCCATCCCAAAGGAATGTTAACGGAGCCCAGGAAACAGCCCCCAACAGATTTGGAGATAGCCCATCCCAAAGAAGTGTTAATGAAGTCCTTCCTGCCCAGATTACTTCTTTGGCAGACCTGTGTCCCACCCCTCCGACTTTCCAACCTACATTCCATAACTGAAAGAACTTTAAAAAGGGGAAACAACTGCACTTCCACAGATTCCACCTCTTGGGTCCCCTTCTTCCTCCGGGAGAAGTCTTTTCTGCTGTCCTTTAATAAACTTCTAATTTCTACTCTGACCTTGCCTCAGCGTGCTTCTCTGGTGTTATTCTTCAATATTGGGGAAGCAAGGACTCCTCACCGGTCAACAGTGGTAACAGTTACCTTATATCTAAATAATAACATTCTGCCCCTGGTCCCCTGAAGCTCATGTCCATCTCACAATGCAAATTATATTTAGTTAATTTCCAAGAGTTCCCATAGTCTTAACAGTTCTAGCATTACCCAAAAGCCCAAATCCAAATTATCATCCAAGTCTCAAGGCAAACTCTTAGCTGTGAGTCCCTATAAAAATCAAAAGCAGGTTACATATATCCATATCTAATGGCTAGTAAACATTTCCATTTCAAAAGGGATAAATAAAGACATAGAAAGAAGGATGGAACTAAAGCAATGCTGAAATCCAATGGGCAAATGAGTTCTCCAGTTTCATGTCCAGCATCTGGGGCACATGCTATTGTGATGTTCTTTCCAAAGTGTTTGTGTAACTCTACCCCTATGTCCTTGATGGTTGCAGCCCACATGACCTCTGTTAGCTTATTCCTGCAGCTTTCCTTGGTAGAAGCTCCATCGTACTGACATCTCTTAATTTGGGGGCCTCTACTACAGCTTCAGCTTCCTTCTATATCACCCTCCCAGGAGCTGTCTGCAGGGATTTGGAACCTCCTACACTTTGTCTGGCCTCCCATACCTTCTTTTGAAATCTTAGTAGAAACCTACAGTACCTCTTAACTCCAGTATCCTGCATTCCTTCAGAACCGGCACCACATGGATGATGCCAAGATTGGCCACCGTCTTGAGTAGTACCCAGGCTTCCTGGAATCATGGCTGCAGCAGCCTCTGAGCAGCTGAGCAGGGTGAAACAACTTCCTAGGCGCCCCTATACAAGCAGAGTGCCCCATTTTTCTCAAAGGAATTTTTACTTTTCCACCCTTGAACCTGAGATGGGGGTGGTCTTGCAGGTTCCTGAAATGCCCTGAAGTCATCTTTTCTATTGTCTCTGGGTGAAGTATTTAGCATTTCTTTAGTGGCTATAATCTCTTTAACCACAACTTCTTTAGCCACAGTTTTACTTATACTTTTCTGGCCAAACTGCAAGTGTTTAAATTTTTCTGTTCTGCTTTCTGTTCCTTAATATCACAGTAAACTTGACTAAAAATTGCCAGAAATATCTGTGCCACCCGGAGTGTTATGGTACCTTGATATTTCCTCCGCCTGATTAATTAGAACATCACCTTGAAATTCAATCTCCCACAGAAAATCTCAGGTCTTAGGCAAAATGTAGACAACTTTCTTTGCCAGAATGTAACATGAGTGGTTTCTAGTCCAGTTTCCGGTAGAGTCCTCCTTTTCCTCTGAAACCTCATAAGCTCAGTCTTTATTGTCCACAGTTCTGTCAGTGTTCTGGTCTTTTGAGCTTCTACCAGAAATCACTCATTAAGCCCTGCTTACAATATTTTAAAGCTTTTCCAGCTTATATCTTTAAACTTTTCAAAATTCCTACCACAAACTTCAAATGGCACCAAAAGCTTCTGAATGACATGGTCAGATTACTCACAACATTGACCCCACTCTCAGTATCAATTACTGTTTCACTTAGCTTTTGTGTTTCTGTGACCAAAATACCTGACAAGAATGACTTAGAGGAAGAAGTTTATTTTGGACCATGATTTCAGCAGTTCAGTCCATGATTGGCTGACTCTTTAGCTTTGGGTCAGAGGCAAGGCAGAACAAATTGCAGAAAGGCATGGCTGAGAAGAGCTGGCTGCTCAGTTCATGACCACCAGGATGTAGAGAGAGAGCACACTGCTGGCCTGGGACAAAAAATAAGCCCTAAAGACATACCCCCAGTGACTGACTTCCTCCAGCCATGCCCTATCTGCCTAAGATAAGGCATGTCATTGTATTAATCCACTGATTAGGTCATAGCTGTCATAATCTAATCATTTCACTTCTGAACATTCTTGCATTATTCCACACAAGAGCTTTTGGGAGATACCTATCTAAACCATAACACTGGGGAAAGAGGTTGACTGGTATCTAAAGAAAAGGTCATTCAATCCCCCTGATTATTAAAAATCCCCCTGAAGTCACCTTTTGGTGAGAATTCATTTCTCTTTCACACTTAGAGAGGTCATTCCATATACCTCTGCCCCAGATTTCCTTCTCATTAGCATTCAATCTTGTTCCTTTCAAGTCCCTGTCTATCTAGCCACACTGTTGGTCCCAGTCCATGAATCAGTATATAATTGCATATCTGACCCAGGTGTTCTACCCTGAGTTCTACCAGTGGGAGGATTTCCCTTCATCATTGCTTTCAGTGATATCCTGAGAGGACCTGTAGTGCTGTAGCTGTCCACTTTCAGGTGGTGCCTGCATATCATGCAGAACCTTCCGTAAACCAGGCCTGAATCTTTGCTGTTTCTGTCAGCCGATAATAGGGACTCCCCCATGGGGCCACAGTTGGGAGAGAGTAGGCATTGCAACAGGAGAGAGGACCTTGGGCATTTGGGCCAATTCTTTTGCCTAGCTTAATTGTGCCTTCAGGGCCTAATCAGGCCCCATTATGTAAAGATTGCTTCCATTTGGTGATGGAGTGCTGCTGCACATGCCCAACTTTGTGGCTTGGTGGGTCAGATAACACACGCTTTTGATGAGCAGTTCAGATCACATGGTAACTTGGTGGCCCATCGTCAGACATTCCATTTCTTTTAAGTCAAGAACTTAAAAGAACATTTCTTTGGGTCAATAACTGTTCTTAAAAGGAGAGCTATTATCTGCAGAGGATAGTAGCCTTGTTCCAAAATCCTGTTCCAGGGACTGGGTGTGGTTAATGGCCTGGAAGTTGGGGGCTGCCAATGGCTCTGGCCATGTTCCTAACCATGTGGAGTTCTGCCATGGCCAGAGCTAGGGAAGCAGCCTAAGGAGGGCCATGTTAAAGATCAGGAACCAAAAATTGGGGCCTGAATTCATATCCTGCCAGCTATATGCATTGGGAAACTGCTCTTTCCTCATCCCCAGAATTCATGATCCTGGGCTTGGAGGTGTTTTTTTTTTTATCAGCTTTTCCTTAGCTGCCCAGTGGGAAAAAATACTCCCGGATTGCAGGAATAATTTGCAGATCTCCAAGGATGTCCTTCCAGGTGCCTGCTGTTGGTGCTGGTGTTGTTTCCCATAAGATGCTATGGGTACTTATTTTGGTGTGTATTTTTTATTTTCAGGAATGTGAGTATAAAAGGACTTTTTACTTTTATGCTTGAAAACATTTATTGAATATTTCAATTGTATTTGTATTTACAATAAAAGTCCTATGAACTTTTAAGAATTATATAAAGCCTACACAAAGAATTTGGTAAAGTCACTTAAAAGCCATAAAAGAAGACAAATGAGTGGAAATTCTTGACATTACTAAAATAGGAGAATGCATATAATGAAAATGTCAATTATTCTACTCTATTTTAATGCCAATCAAAGTCACACTGCCTGGCAGAAGGAAGGTGATATTATCCTTTTTAATTTAAAGAATTATAGGTTTTAAAAACTTTGGTGGGTTCTTCATCTGGGAAAGAAGTATATGAAAACAGCCAAGAAATCTGTGTGGGGGATGAACAGGTGATGGTGTAGGGACATACAGACCATTCTTTGCATTCTGTTTCATGTGGATCATTTATTATGCACATGAATCTACTTTTTAATCAGGTGATATTTTTTAAATGATTTTTTTTGTTCAGTGTTTTCCAGGGTGCCTGACGATTCAGATTCGTACCGTCTTGTGCATATTCATAGTGGTCTTAATCTATTCTGTAGCCCAAGGATGTGTGGTAAGCATCCATTATAACTTTTGAAAAGCACTGGGGCAAGAGAACTGGAGGGAGCAGGGAGGACTAACAGGAGGGAACAGGGCAGGAGTAACAGATGGAGGGGGCAGAAGAAACAGGATGGAACTGGGGCAGGACTAACAAGATGAAGCCAGGATAGTAGGAACAAGAGGGAGCTGGGGCAGGAGTCACAGGATAGAGATGCCAGGCTTGGGGTGCAGGGAGGGATGGTGCCTCTAGGTCCTACTTAACCCCTTTCCCTGCAGCCTTTGCAGGCTGTGGGCAGCAGGATGGTTGAGGCCTGGCTGGTGACACGGGGTTGGGCGGGGTGGGGGGGGCGGTTATGGTAGAAGGCATGGAGAGCTGGGAGACTGGGATACCTGAATGTTCTGAGAGAATGCTGGCTGCTTCCTGGCCTTTCCTAAATCCCTACGTCCCTCATTCCCCAGGTGGGCTGCCTACCCTGGGCCTGGAGCTCCCAGTCCAACAGCTCCCTGGTGGTCCTTGCGGCTGGGGGCCGGCGCACTGTGCTGCCTGCCTTGCCCTGTGAGTCTGCACATCACGCCCTGCTCTGCTGCCTGGTGGGTACCCTCCCGCTAGCCATATTCCTGCGGGTGTCCTCCTTGCCAAAGATGATCCTGCTGTCTGGACTCACCACATCCTACATCCTCGTTCTGGAGCTCAGCGGATACACCAAGGCCGAGTGAGTGTGGTTGCCTCAAGGAAAAGGCCCCGGGTGGGGTGCTGTTGGTGAAATCTGTGTGTACAGCTACATATAGCCTCTTCCAATTAGCAAATTAATGAGGACCAAGTCTATGCAAAATTTTTAGTTCCGTGGCTTTTCCATTTCTCCTCTTCAGCCCAGGTTCTAGCAAGGCATCAGACTTCCTGTTGAGAAGGAGGTCTTGGCCTGGGTCAGCCCCAGCAAGCTGTTTGTGGGCATCACCACCTGAGGACCACTCTCTGCCCTGCTCCAGGGTTTGCTGGCCACGTCTTGCCTGGAAGCTCTACATTGACTGGGGTTTCTTCCTCACCTTCCCCCAGGGGCGGTGGTGTCTCTGGGCGCAGCTACGAGCCGATCGTGGCCATCCTGCTGTTCTCGTGCACGCTGGCCCTGCACGCCAGGCAGGTGGACGTGAGGCTGCGGCTGGACTACCTCTGGGCAGCACAGGCAAGATAAGCCCTCTCTCCTTCCTGGGGGTGTGGGATGGGGATCCTTCAGCAACTGGGGCAGCTGGCTGACACATTCACTGGCTATGTGACCTGCAGAGGTCCCCACTCAGCAGTATGGAAGGACCAGGTTCTGGAAGAGACCTGTGCCAGGGGCTTGAGAATTAGGGACAATCCCCATGGAATGACTATATGGAAGGCTACAGGAAGAGTGTTCAAGATAATAATGTCGGAATGGCTGTTTTATGAGGCAGTGAGCTCCCCATCCTAGGTAGAGGGGCCTCGGACTCTGTGGGGTCTGGATGATGGTTGCAAGTCCCATTAGAGTTATTGGGAAATAAGGGAATGACGAATCTCATTCCACCCACTCCATATTGAGTGGCTCTGTGGGTGGGAACTGGGAATCTATATTTTTGACAAGTATCCTGGGAAATTCTGACAGGTGAGGCATGAGGACCCCTTATGGAGGGATTCCAAGAAGTAGTGGTATGAGCTGGCTTTGGACCTTGACCTTCTGGTTAGCAAGTGGGGAATCACAATTTCTTGAAATCTGTTCAGATGTGAGACAGATGCCAACTGTCAGATCTTTACCTGAGCCCATGCTGTGTAGCTAAGTTCAGAGTCATAAGGGCTTACCTATGTCTGTGGTGGGACCAGGGCAGCACCTGGTGCTAATGTGAATGCATCTCTGTCTGTGCCTGGGCCCCCAATTGTTCTGTGCTCCCCAGGCCTCTGGGATATGAGGCATTTGAATAGTCAGGATTAGGTTACCCAGGCTCATATCCCATCTGCAGACTATCTTGCTCTGGGCTAATTGCTCCACCTAATTTTCTTCACCTGAATGTGGGGAATAAAGGCTTGATGAATCTTAGCTTTAGCAAAAGGCAGTCTTCTTATTCTGATATATCAAGAATAGCTCTTGGCTGTTGGAACTACCTGATTGCATTTATACCTCAGAATAGTGTTGCCCAGGAGGTGAAATTACACATTGGAAAACAGGATCCATAGAAGAGAATGTCAGGATCTTTCAGTCCTAAGTGGCTGAAGCAGAGGGCTCACTGTGGACATGGAAGACCTGATTGTGCCCAGGTGTCTTGTGGCAGTGGGACCAGCTCTGACATATCTGCTTGGCAGGAGAGCTTTTTGGTTTGTCCTCTCATTCCTGAGACTGAGTGGCAGCAGGCTACACAGTGCAGGGCAAAAACCCTGCTCAGTAGCAGGAGGGGTAACAAGGGCTGGGCCTGGCATTAGGTAGTCCCTGTCCCACATTCTGGCAATGTCACAACCAGTGATCGACCATACTCGCCTTTTTCCAGCCATAAAATGGGGGTGAGAACCTCAATCTGGGCTTCCAAGAATAACCGAAATTACCTTGTAGACACACTGGCCCCAGACTGGAGTGAAGGAGGAAGGCATGCTGGATCCCTCTTGGCTTGGTTTCTGCAGGTGACTTTGTCCCTTGGCTGTAGGTTATGAATCTATTGGAGTAACCTGCACCTGCTGATGCTCCCCATTGTCCCAGTACAACTGGAAGCAGGATGCCGGGGACCTATTGGTTGGGAGTCTCTAGGTCAACCTCCCTGGTGGTGGGTAATGGTTTCAGGTGCTGGCACATACCAATTCTTAGAAAGGAGACCAGCTGCAGTTTGCCCAAGCTTGCCAGGTAATGGGAGGAGCCTCTTTTTGATGGGTTTTGCTGCTGATATTTATTCTGCTCTGCCAGCTGTCCAGCAAAATCCAGCAGTCTGGCTCCTAACACCCACTAGCCCTGCCATCAGCCCTGCCATCAGCCTCTGGTTTGAGATCTTTTTATATGAGCAGTGTCTGAGGCCACATGGGCATATCCTCAGCCCAGGGCCTCCACTCTGCAGCCAGGACTGGATGGGCCCCACCTCAGAGTTGGGGCCAAATACCAGATACCTACCCAGAGCTGGAGAAGAATGGATTTAGCATGAATCAGGAAGACTGAGACAACTGGGACACCAAGATGGAGGGTTTATAAAGTTGTTTACTATGTTGCCCAGTTGGCTGCATAATTAAAGTGAGTAAAATTGAGGCCAAAGCTGTGACTTCCAGCTGGGAGATACTCCCTGGGGGAGACATGGTTTTTCTCATCTGGGTTGGCATGGCCTTTTCTTGGCTTTAAATATTAAATTAAAATATTGGTTATTAAGTACAATTTTTATTAAATATACAGTATTTGACCCTGTCATGTGATTCTCCATTTGACCACAACCCCTATCAACTTCAGGGCACAAATGCATTCTGGGTGAGTCTGTGGCCCTCATGAATGTGTGTCATTGGGTAAGGTTGCTAAATGGAACATAGTGACACATTTTTTTCCATAGATATGTTACAATAAATGCTACTTTGCTTTCCCATAATCCCACAAAACACAGAACTTTCTAGACTTTATCTGTTTGCCCTCTGGACATTTAAATAGGTTGTACAGACATCAGAGTTCCTCAAACTATTACCCAATTTTCAGGCCAAAGACTAAGTGGGTTAATTATTTATGAAGACCAAATTGGTTGTTCAAACCTGCATAAATAGATGGGTTTTACCATTGTGATGACATCCTGAACCTCTTCATCTTTAACTATTGAGATGCTTTTGGTTCCAGTGTTGTTATTTTCTTTGATCTCAGTAGATAATCACCATGAAAACACAGTTAACTTATTTGTCTACCCAATAAATACTTAATCCAAGGATAATTCCCATTGTGCAATAGCCATTACAGACTTTGAGAAGAAGTTTGCCTATAGTATGATCACAGTACAGATATGGAACTCTCAGCCATAGAACCAGGTTAGAGACACTATTGAATTCCTGATTTCGAACCCTTTTGTTCTTGAGCTGCATTTCTACACATGTGATGGTAACACGGTGTGACAGTAACAGGGAGTTTATGTCATGAATGTCAGGGTCACCTTTCTCAGACTCTGAAATACTGCAGCATGTTGGTTGTCATTTTGTTCTGTTACTTGCCACAGGTTTTACCTTTGGGCTTTGGGTGGGCACATCCTCAAAACAGCTTTCAGTAAAGACAGATGATTCTGAATCACTTCCCACTAGGTCCTACCTCTTATAGGCCCCTCACCTCCCAACATCACTACCCTAGGACCAAACACCAATCCATGAACCTATGGGGACAAACCACATCTGTACCATAGCAAGGTCTTTATCTGCTGTTGATATGAGAGTAATACCAACAGCAGATAAAGGATGAGTGGAGTATTCCATCCTTGTCAGTTTTTCTATGGAGTTTGTATAGAAGAGGTATTATTTCTTCCTTAAATGTTTAAGACCTGATCTACCTGTTTTTGTTTTTGTTTGTTTGTTTGATGAGGAAACTTTAAACTAAAATTCATTTTCTCTTAGGATATATGGCTCTTTAGGCTTTCTATATCTTTTTGAGGTGTCTTTGGAAATTTGTATTCTTCCCTTAAATTTGTTGATTTTTTGATAGAAAAATTGGCTATAATATTTCCTTATTATCTCTTTAATATTTACATAACCTGATCTATATTATTTAATTTCTTATGATTATTTTCAGATTAATTTACTGTTCGTTTTGGAGTTTTAAGGTAATTTGAGAGAGGCTTTTCTTCCTGTGTAATATAGGTGCTTTGTGTTATAAATTTGCCTCTAAATACTGCATTAGCTGAATTCCACAAATGTTGGTGTTATATATAGGTTCATTTTCATTTCGTTCAAAGTACTTTCTAATTTTCCCTTTGGTTGCTGCTCCCCCTCCTTCTCCTCCTCCTCACTTTAATCAGTGTAGTTACACCAGGAAGACAGAAGGACAAGGGGACCTGTATCCAAAGCCCTGTCTTCAACAGCTAATAGACTTTGAGGTTTTAGAGAAAAGGGGAATGAGGGCAATGGTGTGTGTTTGTGTGGGGGGTCTGCATAGCCAGAAGGATTGCTGTCAAAGCAGGTGATTTTGATCAAGTGCAGGTGTGACCTTGCTGTCACTGCTGGTAGCTTCCATTTATCACACAGTGTTCATTGGATCAGACCTCGTTTCAGGAATCCAAGATGACCTGGAATAAAGGGGACAGATGCAGAATGGAGGCAGAGATGCCAAGGCTCTCATCCTGCTTTTAGCCACCCATTCGATATTTGAAGGCAAAAGTAGAGTCTATGTGTTTGTTACAACTCTATCTTTTGGCCATTCCTCAACCTTGAGGGAATCAGGGTGTCAGCCAGTCTGATTTTCCAGTTGTCCTGGCCCAGTGATTACTAGCTTTTGAATTACAATTGAGGCAAAAAAGGGTTAGATGTCTAAGCCTAAAAGTAGAAGTGCCATTACAAGCTATAAAGCAGAATATAAGAGTCAAAGTCTGAAGATGTCCAATCTTCAGATTGGAGGGTGTCTCTTTCCTTTTTCATAGTTCTGTGAGTATGGACTACTAAATACACACACACACACACACACACACACACACACACACACACTCTTATTCAGAAAAGAATAGTCATTTTCTTGGTTTTGTCTAAATGGAGGGCCCTTGCCTAAGCTATGAGTTCTACCTTCGATCTGGAGGTTCCTGGCTTTTGTGTCAGGCAATAAGAATGTCATCTCCAAAATATCTTGGCCTTACTAACTTTTGGGAGGGCTGACACAAGTGCACGTCTCAAGTCACCTTTAAAAGGGCCACTGTCTTTCCCTTTTAATTATTCTTGCATAACTGTTCTTTGACTTTTCTTCCACTCCATATTAGTACATTTGTCTCTGGTTATACTTTCCATTGGGTGTTCAAGACTGATTAACTAATTGTGGGCCCCCTGTGTTGTCCTCTTTCCTTCCTTTTGTTAAGTCCACCTGAGACTCCTCAGGGGTTACTTTTTAGGCACTTTTGAGGAGCCTCTTGACTCTTTCTGTCTTTTTCTCTACCAGTTGTGCCATCTGCCAGATTGGGTCAGAGTCTTGCTGACTACATGTGACTTCCCTTGGAAGCATTTAGGGACATTCCCCTCTCCAATGACCCTCTT